TAAGCTCCCATTCTGTAGCTTTCCGTACTCATGATTTACCGTTTGCCTATTTTCCTATAAAAATTTCACAGTACCGCCGGTCCCGTAAGACGCAAGAATGGGGCTAAGCATATATAATGTGCGCTACTTACGACACCTACGCCCTATATTCTAAGGGGTAATTTACGCCATTGAAATTTTTTATTGCAGCAAGCTAATAGGTTATTTTTCGCGCTTTGTCCGTGCTTTTTGTTACTTGTTTACTCCTGACCTCAAAAGAAGGCCCTTCTTTGCTGGAATTTTCTTTAAACTGAAGATTCACAGAATGAATAGAAAAGTTTTCGTACGCACCTTTATTGGTAACATTCAACCACAGATAGCAAAGTACAGTCCCTATATGATTAAATGATTTCCTCAAATAATAGTTGATCGCACTGTTGAGCACCGACTTCGACGGTAGATATGCATGCGTTCCATTGGGTAGACTAATTCTGGTGTCAGAAACTTGGACATCTGACAACCTGATTGTGTTTGGCTTGGTTTCTTCTTTTTCCAAAAATAAGAAAAGTCAATAATGATTGTCCCCGACACATTTTGCAGATAGTGCGTAATGGGCATATAAATTTTTTGGCCCACCGAAAGTAAGACAAAAAGGAACAAGGTTCAGTCAACATGAACAGGGCATAGTAGGTGTTATCCCGCATGAAAATAAATCTGGTTAAATAATGGTGCAGGTGTTCGCCCACCAAAGTTACCCATTGGTTAATAGTTATTACTATAGAGGGAAATTTCAGATGACAGGTATACTGAATGTAGCTTGCTGGCATTATGCCTCGTAAGAAGAAACATCCATAAACCTTAGCTTCCTGAATAAATTCCACCTTTAAATGGTCACCCATGTACTGTTTAGAGAATTGAAATAGGTCAATTTTATTTATTAGGTGCTCCGCAATGCCTGCTAAAGTAAACAAGCCGTCCCGACGTGGACATTGCAGGTTTTCTACAAGAGGAAAAGATGACGGTTGTTAGCCCGACTTGAGCCCGACCTTGAGCCCGACTGGACACTGTAGCGGCCGAACCGGTAGG